TTATTATTATTATTATTATAAACGGAATATAAATCTCTTAGTACACAAGTAAAAATGTACCCCCACCTCCCCACCCTCCGGTCAGCAAATGTTATTCACGGATTTGGCAATTGGAGTCCATTTTGAGAACCTAACCCTGCAAATTTGAAGGGCATGCTGCACTACAATGAGTTATTCTAGTGTGACTGACATCCACACAGAATCGGTGGGCATCACAGGCAAGACGAGTGTTACGAGCCCACTGCCTTGCCAGAGGTACACAGGATGCCAAATTGACTAAAGGAAGAGAATTAATAAGACAAAATGCCTTTGATTTCACCCTATCTAACAGTTGGACAGAAGAAGAACCACCCCATATATGAGAGCAGTACTCTAAGTTAGGACGAATAAATCCCTTATAAACTTGAAGTAACCGCTCAAGAGAATATTAGCTACGGCATCTGTACAGCATTCCCAGCTTTTGCGAGGCAGCTTTAGCAATGTTGTTGATGTGTGGCTTCCATGACATGCAGTGGTCCCTCGGTTAATGAACAGTTCAATTAACAAAATTTCGGTTAACGAATTACCTCCCATAAGGATCTTCAATTCGGTTAACGGACAAAACTTCGATTAACGAAATCCTTACGAACATCACGTTTTGTTGTGAGCATCAGCTGATCAGATGATGGGCTAGTCTGCCAATTCAGTAATTTGTTCTATGTTTACATTCGTTTCCAGTGGAGTAAATATCAAGAAATATGTGCTATCTAATATTTTTGCATTTGTTATATTAAAATTATTAATCATTTTAACATTTATTTAACATATTGATAATATATGCAGTACAGGGTACTAGTTTTTTGTGCGTCCATCAGACGCTTGACTCAGCCACCAGGCGTCAGTCTGGCTTTGTTACAGTGGAGTGAACATCGATTTTGTTGGTGTCTTGAATATTTTTGCATTTTTACATTGAAATTATTGGTCATTCTGAAATTTCGTTAACATATTGATAATATATAGAGCAGTGCAGTGTTGATTTAAATAAAATAATCTTGAATTACACCTAGTGAACTTAAAATTTTATTGGTGAAATGATGGCATCAAGCATGGGTCCCCTGAAAGGTGATTTCTCCTCCATTCTCACTTCCTTATCTTCTCCCTTCTCCTCCACCCCCACTTTCTTTTCTGTGAGCTGGAACCAATTGCCCAATATCCCATTGAAACAATGGATTCGGTTAATGAAATTTTCGGTTAACGAACGACTCTGTGGAACGAATTGTGTTCGTTAACCGAGGGACCACTGTATTTAACTGCAGATACATTCTCTACGAAAAAAAATCATATGCTTGACCCTTGATCAGCTATTGCATCGTCCTAAATTGTGGCAGCTTCTTTTCACATAGCACGAATAATACAGTCACAGACACTCGAGTTAAGATAACGTTGGTTCAAGCATCAGGCCGGGTGTGCTTTGTACTCTTTGTTTAATACTGATTTTACTTTGCTTTCACGATGCCCTCAAACAAATACCAAAGAGATAAACTAAATTAATGATGCTAAAAGAAAATTTAGTGTTTATTATTGGCTTATAATTATTGTGTACACTAGATATTGTCATTAGAAACATGTTTGGGGAAGTACTTTTTTTGTTGGAACATATCTCAGGTTTTATTATGGTAGTCTTTAGGAAAATGTGCTCCAATATATTTAAGATTTTTTCAGTTTGTACCAAAATAGGAGACAATGAAAAGTGAGAAGAGAAAAAGAGCCAATCACAGCACTACTTATGTCCCTCACTAGTCAATCAATGTCAAACCATACCACATAGTCAGCAGATTTTTTTTAATGTAGCTAGAAAAATCAAATGGCTCTCAAATCCAGTTATTAAAGACTAATGGTTGAGTGATGTTAAGTTAAGAAGAGACTTTACTGCACAAGGATAAACAGAAAGATTTTGTCACTCAAAAAAGCACATTTTAATCTTTTCTTACCTCCTCTGTAAGGTACAAATCAGTTAATTGTTCACTGATCTTTGATCCATTATTCATAACAACAGCTGAGTTATAAACTGATTCAGTTTGTTTCAAAAGAAAGCTGTTGTTATAAGCATCAAATTCTGTTGTGTTACTGAAGCTTGGGCTGATAGTGGCACTGATACTGGTGTCCAGAAAATTGGAAACTTCAGTAAGATTGTCTGTGGATCCTTCCTGGAGGAGTGTGGGTATGGCAGGGGAGGTGTAGCCTTCCAGTACACCTCCAGAGAATGTACTCAATCCCATAACACAGGCAGCTATTATCTGAAGAAAAAAAATCAAAGGTAGTACAAGTATATATTTGGCACCCAAATATGCTAAACTCAAAATCATTCTTTTCTCTAGTAGCAAAATCATAATAATTTTTTTATTATTTCACAAATGGTTTAATAACATTACCATGCTACATTATTTCTGCAGGGCATATTAAGCATAATTTTAGAGCATATGACAGATAAGCACCTGGAAAACTATTAATCAACAAACCTCAAACCTGTGTGCCAATGGATCAGCTCCTTCCTTAACATTAGTACCAGGATATGGGTCACCAACATGAACAGCTCTCTCAGGCACAACCACAACCACCTCCCCTTCCTCCACGGTCTCCTCCTCTCTCATCATATTGCCTCCTCACTAAAATCACTTGGAGGACAACACAAATCCTGCTCTAGGACATCTCACATAACAAGTTCATGGGCTTTTCTTTTAGTGAAATTTCTCTTCTGGGACATCCACATTGGCAACAACAAAACTTGTGTTACACTTTAATCCATTCACTTTTTTAAAACAATATCCTAAAAGTAAATTATGTTAATATAAAACAAAATGAATTTTGATGAGAAATGCACAAGTGTTTCCTCAAGTAATGTACATTATGCTTTATGACAAGAATTTCTTTCACATATCCCATCATTTTTTTGTGTTAATGTTCTTGAAAGCATCACTCCCCTCCTTACATCTTTTCCAGCAATGTTATATATATGCTTCTACATGGTGTTCAACAAATAATATAACTCAGAATAAAATAAGTGTTCATTCAGTGATGCATAGTTATAATAATTGCTAAAATGTTGACTAATTATTCTTTGCACAGAAGAACTGACTGAAACATGTTATAAAACACTTCTTGTAATGCCTCTCTGGATATTTTGTTTCCTACACTGTCAACAGTATTATATAATTAAAAAAAATATCTATGTTCACTTATACACATTCTTGCTTTTCTTTATACAGTAGCTACTGTACCTGAAATAAAATACAATAGGTCACATTAATATAATGTATTTATTTTATTTATACACTATTAACAAACAAATCACATGTAGAGCCTCTTCTACTTCCAACTGGTACAATCAACGGTGTTAATGCACCCTCTCTGTGTGGTGTGAACCCCGGGAGTATCAACTCTTGAATCCAAACCATTTACGAGTGAGGGAGAGAGGGAGGCCAGGGGATGACTGGAGCCAATGTGCGAGTGGGTGGCAGGGTAATGCGGGGTTGAGGAGGGTCAGGGGGTCTGGAGGGGTGAGAGAGAGTTAAGAAGATACCCATACAGTTACAACGCAGACTATATTAAGTAAGGATATAAATAGGTAGGATAAAACACAAAGTATGATTAGAATATGTTGCCACACATTTCGGTGGTATTCCCAGCTTGTGCTACAGGTCTGACCAATATATGCTTATTCACTGTCCAGAATTTATGAAATAATAGGCCACTGTGGAAACAAAACAAGCCCCTCCCCTCAAAAATTGCACACACATGCACCTCCCTCCCTCCCTCCTGCTGAAAATTAAGTAACTGTCACTTACTTCAGGGGTGACGGGGGTGTGGGCTGGTGCCTCTACATATGGTGTCCTTTTAAGACAGGGTTGCATTTATGACCCAATGAACAACAGATGCCTTGTAATTTAATTATATAAGCATCGTCATAGTAAAAGTGTAAATAACAAAAAAAAAATCATGAAGTTGTCAAACACAATTATTTTAAATAACAATACCATGAAAATAATACATCGGTGAGCAGGAGTTCCACCTTTATTTCATGGGTTTTTTGTTGTTGTTGTTGTTTTTTACAGTTTCAACAAATTACTATCTATCTGTTGTCTACTGGACAGTGAGGTGAGATTGAGAGAAGGGGTTTGATGGGGTGTCAACGCCTGGCACAGTTTAGGGCACAGGTGCACTGTGTTATGTTAGCAATCCTTATTATGTGAATGTAGATACTTTATAATTTCTGGTGCTTGCTTAAATTGGGAAACATCAGTAACACATTGTATTATATAGACAGTGATAGGAGTT